CGGGCCTGGGGCCGGGCTGTGCGCGGCTGCCCAGGAGCAGAAGAGAACTGGGGTGTGGGCGGGGCGGGGCGGAGCTCCTCACGCGCCGCCCTCGGGACACCTGCCCGGCAGCGGGAGGCCCCGACCCACGTCTCTGCCAGTCCCTGTTCCCCTCAGCACTGCCGGGAGTAACTAGGAATAACGGTCACAAGCTGACTGAGAGTAGGTTCAGACTAGACATCAGGAGGCGCTGCTTCCCTGTCAGGGAGGGGAGGACCTGGAACCAACTTCCAAGGGAAGTGGTGCTGGCTCCTACCCTGGGGGATTTCAGAAGGAGGCTAGACAGACACCTAGCCGGGGTCCTTTGACCCCAGCATTATTTCCTGCCCAGAGCAGGGGCTCGGACTTGATGACCTGCTCAGGTCCCTTCCAACCCAGCCAACTATGAAACTCTCCAGCTTCATGTCTAAGGCGGTCTGTTAGCAAGAAGTACATCCGCCTGATACTGGATTCGTAGCAATATAAAGAAAATTGTCTGTATCAGATATCCGCCCAATGGGGCCGATAAATGCCCCTGCTGTGCGCAGCCACAGCGCAACACGCAAGCAGTGAGGAGCAGGGCAGGGCCGGCAGCGTGCAGAGCTGCCTCCAGCTGGTCAGTCCATTGTGGTGGAAGGGAAGGGGAGGGGCCCTGGGGAGCAGATCAACTCCTCTGCAGGTGAGGGAGGGAGGGGGTAGGGACAGGTGCTGCCCAACCAGGGCAGTGCGGGACAAAGGCTTGTGGCTGGGGCGGGGGTGGCTACTGCCATTGCTGGCACCCCGATTTCGCCCCAGCCCAGCTCCCAGTGCCGCCACCACTTGCCCAGCACAGCCCAGGTGGGTGGAGATGGGGATTAATCCGGGGCTGCCCCAGGCAGGCAGTGGTGAAACTTGGGGTGGGTGCAGTCCCCTCCCAGTGCTGCCAGTGCTTGCTTGGAGACCCACCCCCACCAAGAACAACCCCACGCAGCCTGGCTCCCTCCTGCCACGCCTCTCCTCTCCCCTCCCCTCCCCTCCCCCCCCCACTCAGATTCGGTGCCCACCCCCGCCATGTCCTCCCAGGATGCAAGCAGTGACTGGAACCACTCCACCCCCCCACAAACCACAGCTTTGTCCTGCCCCGCCCAGGCAACACCTGCCCCTACCCCCTCAC